ACACACACACACACACACACACACACATGCGTGCATGGAACGAAGAAGAAGAAGAAGAAGAAGAAGAAGAAGAAGAAGAAGAAGAAGAAGAAGAAGAAGAAGAAGAAGGAGGAGGAGATGGCGAAGAAGAAGAACAGCAGAAATGGAAGAAGATATGAATCTAAAGTCTCCTTTTCTACCTCTCTTCAATAAGAATAAACTGACCAGTGAAGAGGTGAAGGTGTGAACCAAGATGAAGACCCGATGTCCTGTGCCCGAAAGTCTGACACTGAATTGCTGCAACGACGCATTAGGTAAGTGCACGGGCGACTATGTCTACCAGCCTCGTCACAACCCCCTCCCCTTCTACACTTCCAAGCACCACCTTTCTCTTTTTCTTTTTTCTTTTGCGGACAAAAGCTCCAATCTATTCGTGCGGAGCAGCATGTGCTGGGAACCACCTTTCTCACTCCCCCTCAGAGTCTAATGTCCCTTGCCAGTCGCTCTACCTAGTCCACAAGCCAGCACTGCGCTATTCTCTGTCCGCCTCGCGGTTTCCAACTGCGAAGTACGCAGTGTGCGCTTGCCAGCCTCTGCTTATAGCGAGGCTGGGGCTGTCCTCCTTTCCATCAGTCCCGATCATAGGATCATTGTGCCATCTATGGTCCTGATGCCTGGACCAGGACCAGAAAGTGTCTTCCTAACTGGTCCTCGTAGGATCATTGTGCCATCTATGGTCCTGATTGATGGACCAGGACCAGAAGAAAAGTGTCTTCATATCTGGTCCACATAGGTCCTAGGATCATTGTGCCATCTATGGTCCTGATTGATGGACCAGGACCAGAAAAGTGTCGTCCCATCCGGTCCACCTTAATAACAGTCTGGACCAGGTGCTGAGATCTTAGATCCAGGTTACTCGCCGCCGCGACAGCGCCCTGGCCTCTGCTCCAAGTTCTAAGTGTGAAGAAGCGGACAAACTCCTAACTTGAACTCAAAGATGAACGCCATCACTGCAAACAAAACTCACTCCATTTCGTTTATCGGATTTCTTCTTTTTTGTTTCGTTTCTTTTTCCTTGTTGTTGTTTTTTTCGGGCGAACGTCGGTGAAGGATACCACTTGAGGACTGGATTCAAACTCCGGTCTGACATTCAACAGTTCATGGGTGTACCAACTGAGCTAGGCCCGGTGGCCGACCATGCATTCTCACACTCTTCGCTCTCCGAATTCGCCCTTGGCGTACAGCCCATGCCAAGTTTCTGACCCGTATGCATCAGGTCGGTGGGTAGGTGGTGCTTAGGTGGTAGGTAATTGGGTGGATGTGCAGAGGGGTGTTTGGGTGGCTGGGTGGATGGACAAGGGAGTGGGTGGGTGGATGGACGGCCAAAGGACAAAACTGGTAGGGACTGAATGTATGCGGTGGACGACTGAATGCACGTGCCTCAGGGAGCAGGTGGGTGGGTGGGTGTCTGGGTGGGCAGATGGGTGAGCATATGGGTGGGCAGACGGATGGGCGGGTGGGCGGGTGGGTGGGTGGATGGGTGTGTGGGTGGGCGGATTGGTGGGTAGGTGGGCGGATTGGTGGGTAGGTGGGTGGGTGGGTGGGTGGGTGGATGGATGTGTGGGTCCCATTTCACTGGCTTAGGGCACAAGCAGTTCTTGCACTCTTTTTTGCCATCAGGAATTTGGGCAGAAGGACAAAACTGGGAGAGAAACCCTTCGTGATCATAACGTCTTTACTGTACAGGAATGCCAAAGAAAGAACTGCCGGTGGAGTGAGCGGTGCCTTACAAGGGGAGAGGAGATCCACCCACAGAGAGAGAGAGAGAGAGAGAGAGAGAGAGAGAGAGAGAGAGAGAGAGAGAGAGAGAGAGAGAGAGAGAGAGAGAGAGAGAGAGAGAGGTCACGAGGGATAGAGGATACACGGGGGAAACGCAAACAACCAAAGGAAAGCCTTAGGAAGGATGGGCGTGTGCAGATGTGTTCGCATCGCTCGTTTGGATGGAGTTAGGGGAGCTTTCCAGAAGCAGTGTGCGGTCTGTGATTAGCCAACCCAGCTGGTTGTGCCCTCCTCAATGGAGACTCTGAGGCTTCTTTTGACAACTGATCATCTCTCGCAGAGGCCGGTCTTCCGAGCTGGCTTACAGTCTTGCTTCGCGGGGGTGAAGCAGTTGACTGAGTACCACGCTCCGTAAAAGGTGCAGCACCAGATGATAACTTTCCACGTGCAGCAGTTTGAGGCTCGGTGTCGTGCTGTTGTTTGGGGGTCGCTTGGCCACCGTGGCTGGAGAACCATCGACTGGCGCGACTAATGGGACCTTCTGTCTCAAGTGCATTTGTAATTGTGCCCTTGGCTGGTGCATCATAATAGGCAGTCTGTTCCGATCTACTGGAAGGACTTGGTCTTTGTCCTGCTGCTGTCAGAGTGTCCATGGTTTGTTGCAAATCCTTGACACCCCCAGACTTCAACTTCGCAGAGATGGACCCCGTCACCAACCTTCTACCAGAACTCGATCTGGTCAAGGTTGCGATGATCTTCGAGGTCGACCTCGAAGATCCCTTAAAGTTATCAGTCTGTTGTAACTCCTGGGCAAACACATCTTTGACTGATCTATGTTTCATCCTTGCTACAGGGCTAGCGTAGGAAGTCATACTTACTCGTTCTCCTCCAACTCCTGCTGTGTTTTCTATAGAGCCCCTCTTGACAAGAGCTGCACCAGCCGGGTTGACGTCCGGTTCACTCGTCACGGCCTTCAACCCCAGATCGCCCTCAAAGACCAGCCCGCTCCCAGATAGACTGCCAAACCCCCTGTACACTGACTGGCTTCTTCCTGTCCGGAAAACACTTTCTCTGCGACTGCTGCCATATGTCTCATGCCCTTGACCCGCTATAGTCTTGATGATGCCCCAGTTTACAAACATTTTCTTGAGCTTAGCATTCATCTTCGGAGAGAGCTCCATGCCCTTATGGCTGAACCACTTTAGTTGTTCGTCTCTGCTGGAGATCTCCCTCTTCAGCTCCCTCACTATGGTGGTTAAGTGTTGCACCTTTCTAAACACCTTTGAATCCTGTTTCTCTCCTCCTCCATGCTTCTCCTTCTGCCGACCGTGGGCCTTCTCACTACGCCGCAGCATCGCACCATCACGATGCTCCTCGTCTGCCTGCCCAAACCTGCCAAAATATACTGCCCGTTGCCGTGGTGAGCCTGCATGTGTCGTCTGACCCTTGGTTCTTCTTCCCTTGTCATCAGACTTGTCTTCTCTTCGTGGATCCATATTACTTCCATCTGCCTCTGTCTCTGCCCCTGCCTCTGCCTCTGCCGCTGCCGCAGGCAGGGATGTGGCCTTTAACCTGCTGCCTTCCGTGGAGACCCGTGTACGCCGTCGAATTGGAATCTGGAACTTTTCCAACATTTCCGAGGGTTTTAATTCCTGAGCTAGTTGAGTTACAAGCTGGCTTAACCTACCACTCTTAGCCCCTGGACCAACCTTCGGCTTCATACCGCTGGGTGTTGGGATGGAGCTGCTTGTGTCCTGGACGTCAGACTCTTTGCTGCTGGCATCGCTGGGTGCGTCCTCTCTGCTTCCGCTTCTGTCCCTGCCTCCTTTGCTGTCCTCCTCCTCATCCTCTTGCACGTCGGCCATACTTTTCCTCTTCAAGTTAGCAGGACGAAGAGCGGAGAGATGATCGTCGGCGAACGATATTCTAGAGGATGCCATCTCTCTCCGTTGCTTGGCGGATAGCTTGGAACTGTCCATTGCGTACAACTGGAATGTGAGCTGCTTGATTTCTCTGCGTAGTTGCCTGTTCTCCATAAGTAGGAACACGTTGTCGGCCAAAGCTTTGTCCCATCTAACGTCATCCATCTTTTTGAAGGCTAGTTTCATTTCGGTGTTGGCTTGCAACTTGTTCTGTATGTACATGCGTTGCCTCTTGACTTCTTCGAGGGCATCCTTGATGTCCGAACTGCTGTCAAGCTTCGGATGACCGAGACAGTAGTCTGCATACATCTTCTGCAGCTTCTTCCACTTCTCCCTTTCGTCCTCCGTCGAGAGGGCAATGGAGAGTTGTCGGCACAGTTGGTCCATAACACCCTTTCGCTTCGCAGCAACATCGTTGGCCGCCTGCAGTTCGTCCCTTGCAGACTTCACCCGGTCCAGGTTCTCTTTATTGGCCTGTTTGAGGGAGGAGACGGTAGAGAGGTACTTGCGCATGAGTAGTTGAGTATCCTCGGCTTCGAGAGCAAGCCTGTGGATCTTTTCTTGCTGCGGGGCCTCCTTCTCTCTCATCATGCGAAGGTTCTCGTTGAGCACGTACTTCTGGACCTCAAGTTCTTCCGTAGAGCTCCTCAGTCTTTGGAGGGCCTTATCTTTCTTCTTGATGGTGCTTTCAAAGTGCGTGAGGACATCCTCGTACTGGACGATCCTGGAGGTCAACAGGTCACGCTGCTCCAGTGCCTTCTTGGCCAGGTCCTCCATCTCTTGTCTCTCTCCATGAGCCTGTTCTTCTCGCTGAAGTGCCTCCTGCCTGCCCTTGTCTACCAGAGCGAACCTCACCTTGAGATCCTCGTTCAGCCCCGTGGCGAAGGCAATGGCTCGTCGTGCGTTCTGGTCCATCAAGTCCAACTGCGTCTCCTGGTCCTTCTCCTGCTGGTCAATCATCTCTTGGCTGTACCTCTCCATCAGCCTTATCTTCTCCGTCAGCGACACAGTCTCCTTGTGCAGCTGCTCTATCTGGGCGCTGTACACACTCATTAGCGCCTGCACCTCTGCTTCATGCTCGTCCTTCGCCTGTTCCAGCTCCGCCTGATTCCTCAACTTCTTCTCCTTCATCCGCTTCGCTGCTTGACTCCTCTGTTCCTCCTCCCTGCTCACAGCATCAGCTATCATCCTTTCTGCCTCACTCATCTGCTTTTTGAACACCTGGTCCATCGTCGCCATTTTCTTCTCATACTTGTCCGTTATGCCCTTCATCTCCGTCTTCATCTTTTCCTGGTCGTCTCTAGCCTCCCGCTGCACCTTAACCACATCGTCCTTCATTCTTCTCAGCATTTCTTGCCATCCATTCTCACTCCTTCGGAATTCGAAATCGTGCTGTATCTGCATGTTCTCGATCTGAGCTTGCAGGTCGTGGACAGTGTCCACCAGCTCTCTATAATCTGAGTTCAGCAAGAGGAATGCCTCAGGGGGAAGTTCAGTGCGGTCAACCAATGATCTGCTGCCCTCTGTCATGTCCGACCCAATGGGTTCCGCCGAAGGTCGCGATTGAGAAGCCGCGTCAAAGGCCGGGAAACCGCAGATGAAGACCACTCCATCCTCCCCGACGCTCACAAGCAGCGAGCCGGTGTTATCAGTGTGAACTGCGATCAGCCGAATCTGGGTCACTGCTGAGGCATGCAATCTCACCTCTGCGAAAGGGAGGGAGTTATCTTCGCTCTGAGACTCATCCATCTTTGGAACCTTGTCCCCGAACCACTCGTATGCACGAATGGCACCTGTGCTGGTTCCGGCGAAGAGCACCTTGTCATCAAACCCCAAGGCCATGCAGGTGACGGTGCAGTCCAGCACCAAAGTTTCGTGCTCAACCGCCCCCTTCACAATGGCCTTTATCTTGCAAATCTTGGAAGGAAGCTCCAAACCAGCCACGACAATGACGGTTGCTGTTTTGTTATAAGTGATGCAAGAGTAGCTCGACATCTTCTTAACGTGGTCCACGTCCCTGTCCCGAGAATAGCTATATACGTCCCACACATAGACGGCGCCATCCTGCCCACAGGACACTAGCGTGGCATCACTAGGGCCCCAGTGGATTCCCTTGATGTTGGAAGTATGCCCCCGAAGAATGCCAGCTGCGGTCGACAAGGTGTTGTAGGTTTGAAAGACTGAGATGAGGTTCTGCTTGCACACAGCGAACAGCTGGCCCCCCTTGCTGAAAGACACCAGCTTGCTAGCGGGAATGAAGATTTCCCGGATGCACCGGAGGTCATCGCCAAGGACGTAGAATAGTCTGACTTTGTCTACCATACCCGCAACAAGGTAGAAGCCGGACGGATGGAGGCTAACGCTGAAACATGCTTCGTGGAAAGTCTTGCGCAGTGTGCACTTCTTACTCTCATAGTTCCATAGCCGAATGGAATGGTCAGCTCCAAAGCTGACGAAACCTCGCTTCTGCACGCAGCTGTCTAAGCCCAAAACCGGGCCTGTGTGAAAACCGGACCTCAGCAGCTCGAACACCCCTTCCTCTTCCCCTTCAAGCTCTAGAACTCCAATGTTGGCAGACTCCAGACCACAAACAACACGTGTACCTGGGAAGAAGAGTGAAACACACATGATCCGGTCTGCCGTGGGCTTGAAGGTCTTCTTGATGGCGTAGGGCGCACCCATTAGGCCACCGCCGAATGTGGGCCCTCCTGCTCCCGCCGAGCTGCTGGAGACGGGTTTGGAAGCTGAGGATGATTCGCCCCCACGCTTCTGGACCCTATTCTCTCCTGCCGCCGTCAGTTCAAAGACAGTGAACATTCCCACCACATCCACCACAAAGAAACCTTGGCGTAATGTCACTATCCGCTCGATGGCCAGGGGTTCGGGCAGAGTCAAGGTGCCAAGGAACACCTCGTCCTCGTAAAGGAGCACCTCCCCTTTGTCTGTGGCCACTGCTACCAGCTCTGCCATCAGCCATGCATGTCGAGTGAAGGAAGAGTCTTGCTTTAGACCAGTCGATACCACAGACTGGTTCACAGAGATAGGATCACCAGAGATGGAGAAAAACCGGATGTTCTTTCGCCCGTTTGCAGCCAAGCGAGTGGCCTCCCAAGGGCTGGCACTTAGCATCTGCACAGAGGGGTCTTCCCTCTGGTTGCCATCCCCCCATGTGAAGGGGGAGGACAACCGGGCCCCTGTCAAACGCCAACTAACAAGCCCCCAAGACCCGTCCTCATTGACGAAAACGATGACCACAGACGCCTCATCCTTAGGAACACATACATCCACAACATCCTTGACCCTCCGGCCCTCCTTGGAGAGGGCAAGGGTCCTGTGGGCTTTCCACAGAGATGTGTGGTGATGCTGCCATGTGTATGTCACGACAAACCACGTCTCGTCATGGACAGACTGCTCCACCAGGACCAGAAGCCGACGGCTCATGCTGGCACGCAGAACCTTCACCCGAGAGTCACTCACCGAATGGAGGAACCTCATGTCAAAGGTGCTGAGGTTGGCTATGGTGACGAAGCTTCCACAGACGTAAGCTATGGCGTTGTTCTCCACGGGCACGACTGAGCTTGTCTCTCTGCTGTCCATTCCGAAGGCAAAGCGAGGGATCGGCATACTCACACTGGCCGCTGAGTTCAACCGACCACCACCACCACCCATCATCCTCCTGGTGGCAGCAGCACCAGAACCCAAAACAGACCCAGAAAAACCAAGCATCGACTTCCTGCTCCTGATCCTTCTCCTGGTCGATCGGGAACGGGATCGGGAGGGGCTCTCTCCAGCAGCCGCTCGGCCCCGATCCTGATCCCCGTCCAACTCTGGAGCCAAAGGAATGGCACTCTTCTTCCCCATGCTGCTCCTCATCTTCCGCTCACTGTCACCACTGATGGTATTGCTGCCGCGGCCGGCCATGGCCACCTGCAGCGGCGGCGGAGGCTCATCGCCGTGCTCCATGAGAAGTTTAAGTTTTTTGGTGTCGTCATCAGAAGTATGAGCAGGACCACCATCACCACCCCCCAGCGACCGACTATGATGGTTGCTGGCGGGAGTGCCTGCGCTGAAGGACGGTGTCCTCTTGTGCGACCACCGAGCCACTTCCTGACCAGTGGTACCGCCACTACCGGTCACAGGAGAGCCCACCGCCAATGCCGAACGCAGAAGGTCGGAGCTTTCTGAACTTCCTCTTATTCGCAGGGGTGCAGCTTTGATGATCGAGGTCCCAGGTCCAGGGGCCTGGATACCAGAGACAGGGGATGCAGGTTCCGTAGGCGAACCTGCATCCTGAGGCGTGGTTTCAGGTCCGGAAGCAGATGAAGCGGACACCTCCGAGTCCTCATGGAGGTCCTCTGGCGGAATAGACGCGAGGACATTGTGAGCTTCATCAGGAGGAGGAGGAGGAGGACACGGAGATCGATCTGAAGAGGTGGAGGAAGCGGAGGGCTGGCTGGTCGGAGAGGAACTGAGTTGTCCAGCGGCTGCAGCCGCCATGGCTGATTCTCCTTGTGTCTGGGAGGAGGAGGGGTTGGAGGTGGAGGCGGAGGAAGACTGGTCGGCTAGGGGTCGGGGGGGTTGGATTCCCGACAGATCTGTCACTGAGGGGATGAAGATGCTTCCCCGACTGCCCTGCATTGCACCTATGGCAGACATTTGCTGGGACCTGCCCAGCCTCGACAATCGTGAGCTAGTACTCACACTTTTCTGTTGCTGACTTTCCTCCTCCTCGTTCCCGAAACGAGCAGCGCTGTTGTTTGAAGTCCGAGCAGAAGCCATCCTACGTTGACTTCCATAAAAAGCGTCTGGTGCAATGGACACTCGCTTCGCAGAACGTCCTCTTACAGGAGTGTGTCCCTTGGGAGAGGGAGGCGACATAAGTGACCGCTGCTCACCCTCTGCACCTGAAAGGATGGGGTTCGAGAAGTGGGGTTGGCTCTTCCCACTCATTGAAGCCATCTTCCACCTGCGGGGATTACACTGCAAAAAAGCCTCCAAGAGGGACCAAGACCCTTCTTTCTATATCCTGTGTTTGTTTGTTTGTTTGTTTGTTTGTTTGTTAGTTTGTGTGTGTGTGTGTGTGTGTGTGTGTGTGTGTGTG